AGAGAGATACGCGCTTCACCGTGACACCGCCGGGAATAAAATAAAATTGGCAGAACTGGGAGAACGGCGAGAGGTACGCACACTACTGCCGTCAGGCTCCCTTGGTGTTTCGGTGGCTACAGAGGAGAGGAGAGAAAGAGCGCGCGCGTGTCCCTTTACCGACGGCCACGGGTCGAATGTGAGAACACGAGAGTGAGAGAGATGTACAGCGTATGTATAACCAACACAGTACACAGCATAAGTGAAAGTGATTCAGCAGCGCATGCCACCGCGCGCGGCCAGGTGCCCGACGGAGAGTAGTGGAGGTGCCTCCGAGTGTTCGATTGCTGGTGGGGGATAGGCAATACGCGGTGCTCGGGAGAAGAGGGACGAACGAGAGAGGAACAGGAGGATGGGGGAGGTAGGGAGGTATTGCCGTGGCCGAAGGGATTGACGGGGGAGGGGAGAAGGAGGTTGTGAAGCCTATGGCGGGGATGACCTACTTACGGAACCAGGTCTATGTCGGCAGGAGAAGTATTGTCCCTGTACGCTCCCGCGCCGGTCTGCCGCCTGTTATTGCCGCCGCGTTTTGTCGACCGTATTTATCGTTAAGGCTACCGGCAAATGCGCACGTGTTACCACAAGCCCGCACGAGTTTCTATCACGAATATTACTAACGATATGTTACGAACGATTTTGTTCGTAGACAAAAACAAAATAAGTTGCGATATATTTCGAAAACAATGATCGAAAAATTTGTTTCAACAATCAAGCAACAAAATGATTAAATGCGCATGATTGTCAACAAATTATTGGGAAACAATTTGTTATATATCAATAAGAAAATAAGAATATCGCAGAAAATGTTTATTTCATAATATTTTCATATATCATATGTATATATATATACATACATATATATATATATATATATATAAGATACTGAAGATCGAACGGATGCCACGAGCCCGCGAACAACTCTTGCTTTCAAAAAGCACCAAAGAACCAACACAGAGCTATGGTAAGCGGGCACAGGGCAAGCGCACAGGCCACGTACAGGCCGTGGCTGGGTCAACAGTAACGCCGTTGGCACTCCCCGACAGTGCCAGTGCTTTTCTGTGTGTACGTCGCAATAGATGTACGACGCGAAGCAGTGGGGAGACCCACTGACCCAGTTCGCTGAGAACATGACGCAGCCGCGACTCACTCCCTCTTATTATATCTATCTCTGTCTGTCTGTCTGTCTGTCTGTCTGTCTTCTCTCTCTCTCTCTCTCTCTCTCTCTCTTTTGCCTTCTCGCACCCTGAACCGACTAACTTGCTTCGCATATCCCACCCTATCTTCTATCTCTCTTATAGACCCTGTCCTTACGTCTTTATATGTCCGTCACCCTAAACGTGTGCGTGTTCCTTTTCTTTCTTCTTTTCTTCCTTCCTTCTTAAGATTTCTTATTCTTTCTCTAATTCTATCTTACTCCTTTCCATTTTTACCCTCGTTTTTTTGACCATGCTTAATAAATATCGTCTTTGCTCTATCCAACAAATGTTAACCATACGCATTTCATTCTCTAACGTTACTTCCATCCGAATTTCTACTCCGATATTCTCTGTTTATATACACATTTTAAACGTAATTATCGTGCTCTTTTTCGTCCAAGTAATCGTGCGCGCCTGTAATAACGCATACATTTAAGTGTTTTACGAGTGTCGGTGGTATCTATATGCAATCGTGTAACACACGCATGTATATGCGCACGCGCGTAGTTACACGATAATATCATCGATGGATGCACACAGCGCAACTATTGCAAGCGTATTGTCGTCATCGTTGTTGTCGTTATATCCAATGCACCGAATTTAGAGGTTAGATGCGATTGTGTATGAGGCGTTTCGATGTTTTCTCATATTCGGCCTGATTGTTTTGAATTAAAAATTCATGGCCGTACAATTTATTGTGATCAAATCATAATTGAAATTTTTTTACGAATTTATTATACAATAATTTTCAATTTTATATTATATATATATGTATATAATATATATATATATACACACATATATATATATATGTATATATTTAGATAGAAACAGAAATATGGTGGATTTTCGATTCGAACACAATGTTAAGTATATCATTGAATTTACGTAACAGCTTAAAAATAAATCATATTCACATTCGTATACTTAATTACATGATACACTAAAAGCAAATAAGAAGCATGTATATTCAAATTGCGGTCAAATTAACGAGTTATATACATATTGCACGTAGAGAAATGGTAGTATAAGAAAGATGAAAGTAAAAATATAGCAAAAGATAGCAAGAAATGATGTTTGAAGCTAAATGTTAATTACAAAGCTTTGCAGGAAAATTTGTTCTGTTAATCACTCAATGGAAAAGTGATGGCACGAAAATTAACGAAAGTGATGCCTGTTGAATTTCTCTTCCATTCTTTGATTCTTAATTTTTTATGCAACTAAATAAGTCAAATTTATTAACGATAGTTGTTTGAGTAAAAATA